CGGATTCTCCAGCATCTGCAGTTCCTACTATCTCTGATTCGTTTTGAGTTGAGCTTTGATCTGTCAGTGGCTTCAGACTATCCTGACCTAGCGCATCTCTAACACCTATAAGCACAATTACAAATTGTTCCTAATGGACCAAAATTCATTATTTATGAATACATCCAATATTTGTTGCACTATTGTTCCAGTTTGTTTTGATTTCCAATATTCCAGTTGCAAACCGAGAAACTGCACATTTTGAATTAGTCTTAATACTCTTCGCTGGGGGAAATATAAACAAAACCGACATATTAAATAGGTTTTTTTTGACGGAGTTGGTTTTAAGTTAGTTCTGACTGTTAACAGTCAAATTAAACATGCGTCAAGTCCACGTTTATAATTAACACTGCCTTCCAGTAAACCACTGCGTACGCAGGATGCATTACATTTTAAATTCATGTTTAACTTCTTTTTATGATTTATGCTACTGCCGTTTTAACGCCTGTAAATACACATTTACAAGTAATTCTAAGGTTTTCCCAGGAAAGAGCTGTATTAAATGACCACCACTTCAGGGTCATTCCACTTTCAACTCTCCCGTCTCCGCCGACACTGTTTACACAGAACCGAGGAAGGGTCACCGAAACATTAACTCTGATTTCTCCCTGCTGAGCTTTGCCAGCAACTTCTGTTTCTGTTCCTGATTTATAGCATCCGCAGTTCTTTCGGTTTTTACTGTTTACACGGGTTCTCCGGAGACAGGGCTTGGGGCGGTCAGCCATCCAACTGGCTGGCCGGAGCGAGCCCGGAGGTTGGTTGGTCACTCAAAATGGGCCGGAGCCGCTCTTTAGTCTCGCACCACCGGCCACTGACACTCAGCTCTAGGCCGGGAGTCGGTCAGCCCAAGAGGGTGTCGATCAGTCTATTGGCCGGAGTCCACCGGTCCCTCGGTCAGTCAGCAAGAGCCGGTGATCGATCGGTCCGTCAGCCGGTGCCGGGGTTCAGTGGGTCAGTCAATTAGTCAGCCCGAGCCGCTCCCTGCTTCTCCACCAAAACCGCCAGCCGCTGACACTCACCTGCCGGACTCAGCAACAGTGCCAGAGCTCCGAGCAGCACGGCCCAGGCACTCGGCCTGCCTCCGGGACACCGCGGTACAGCCATGATCACTGTTGCCGCATGGTAGGATAGGCAAGGCCGGTCACGGTCAGGGATCTGGCGCCATTACCGTCCGCACTGACGGACAACTCGACAACCGCTCGCCGCCCCGTCGCTACGCAACCAAGACACGCGCCTGACGTCCGGCACGCCCAATGCGTCAGCACGTTCCGTGCGTCAAGGCGCCGGCTGGCGGGGCGGGGCGGCTGAAGGCGCAGGTTTGAGTGACAGGGACATAAACAGAAATTGCTGGAAAAGCTCAGCAGGCCGGGTAGTATCTGTGGAGTGAAATCAGAGTTAATGTTTCAGGTCTAGTCATCCTTCCAAACTCGTATTGAGCGACAGGGAGCCAGAGGAGATGTTGTGTGGACAATGTATATCATTGTTCACTGCTTTTAACAGCTGTTCTTAGTAATATTATTGTGCATAGACACTATTGTCATTCCTGATATTATGATTAGTAGTTTTATCATTGTTTCCATGATTCTTCCAGCTTCTTATAATTACTTATTATTAATTATCAATACTACTTTTCTTGGTTATGATTATTATTGTCTCTCAAAGAGTCATGAGTCATACAGCACGGAAACAGACTCTGGTCCAACCAGTCCGCACTGACCATAATCCTCAAACTAAACTAATCCCATCTGCTTGCTCCTAGCCCACATGCCTTCAAACATTTCCTTTTCATGTACTTATCTAAATGTCTTTTAAATGTTGTAATTGCACCCACATCCACCACTGACTCAGGAAGGTCATTCCACATGGAAACCACATTCTGTGTAAAAGATTTGCCTCCATGTCTTTTTTAAATCTCTCTCCTCACCTTAAAAGTGTGCCCCCTATCCTAGAAACCCCCCATCCTAGGGAAAAGGCAACTACCATTAACTCTATCTATACCTCTCATTATTTTATACTCTAATTATTATTATAACTATTAATTTTATTCATCAGTGTTATTATGAATATCATTGTTGTTCATGGGAAGTATTATTCTCAACCGTGTCTCCCACATCTCCCGCAACTCATCCCTCACACCCCGTCCACGCAATAAGAACCAAAAAAGAATCCCCCTCGTCCTCACGTACCACCCCACCAACCTCCGGATCCAACGCATCATCCTCCGACACTTCCGCCATCTGCAATCCGACCCCACCACCAAAGACATCTTTCCCTCCCCACCCTTATCTGCTTTCCGGAGGGACCACTCTCTCCGTGACTCCCTTGTCCGCTCCACACTCCCCTCCAGCTCCACCACACCCAGCACTTTTCCCTGCAACCGCAGGAAGTGCTACACCTGCCCCCATACCTCCTCCCTCACCCCCATCCCAGGCACTAAGAAGACTTTCCACATCAAGCAGATGTTCACCTGCACATCTGCTAATGTGGTATACTGCATCCGCTGTACCCGGTGTGGCTTCCTCTACATCGGGGAAACCAAGCGGAGGCTCGGGGACCGCTTGGCAGAACACCTACGCTCGGTTCGCAATAAACAACTGCACCTCCCAGTCACGAACCATTTCAACTCCCCCTCCCATTCCTCAGATGACATGTCCATCCTGGGCCTCCTGCAGTGCCACAACGATGCCACCCGAAGGTTGCAGGAACAGCAACTCATATTCCGCTTGGGAACCCTGCAGCCCAATGGTATCAATGTGGATTTCACAAGTTTCAAAATCTCCCCTCCCCCTACCGCATCCCAAAACCAGTCCAACTCATCCCTGCCTCCCTAACCTGTTCTTCCTCCCACCTATCCCCTCCTCCCACCTCAAGCCGCACCTCCATCTCCTACCGACTAACCTCATCCCGCCCCCTTGACCTGTCCGTCCTCCCTGGACTGACCTATCCCCTCCCTAACTCCCCACCTACACTCACCTTTACTGGCCCCATCCCCGCCTCTTCGACCTGTTTGTTTCCTCCACCTATCCTCTCCTCTATCCATCTTCTATCCGCCTCCCACTCTCTCCCTATTTATTTCAGAACCCCCTTCCCCTCCCCCTTTTCCGATGAAGGGTCTAGGCCCGAAACGTCAGCCTCTCTGCTCCTATGATGCTGCTTGGCCTGCTGTGTTCATCCAGCCCTGCACTTTGTTGTCTTGGATTCTCCAGCATCTGCAGTTCCTACTATCTCTGATTCATTATTCTCCACTGTTGTTATTAGGATTAACATTACTATGGGTTGCTGTGATTAGTATTACTGTTTGTCCAGCTACTATTATCATTCCTGGTTGTTATCGTTATGACTGCCAATGACTATTATATGCCCTGTTGTTGTTATTACTACTTGCTGGCCGTTATTACCTCCTGGTCATTATTATTTCCTCGCATTAAAATCAAAGTTTATATCCTCTTGTGTAGCGATAGGACAGCTGTTCAACAATGAAAAATATCCTCAACTGACGTTATTATAGTGTGAATGATTTCAGTTCACAAAGCACTGTGAATTCATCAAAGATAGTAAGAACTGCTGATGCTGAAGCTGGAGGAACACAGCAGGCCAGGCAGCATCAGAGGAGCAGGAAAGCTGACGGTTTGGGTCAGGACCCTTCCTCAGAAGAAGAGTCCTGACCCGAAACGTCAGCTTTTCCGCTCGTCTGATGCTGCCTGGCCTGCTGTCTTCCTCCACTCCATACTGTGTTATCTTATTTATAACTGTGAATTCCTGTTGTTTTCTCAGTGGGTATACTTTATCTAAGTGTTGAGGGATTGCCTCAGGATAGAGAGTGGGGTGTGGGATAGATTCTTAAAAGATGAAAGGATCAAGGATTTCTGAAGGAAACTGCATGAGCACCGGACAGAAACGAGCGTGAACGGCCAAAGGGACTAAGTAGTACAGTGGGACTGACTGTTTGGATCACAGGGAGCCAGTCTGGACTCTGTCCCAAAGGGCAATCTTCTGTGCTGTTAATGACTCATACTGTAAAGGCAGAAAATGCTGCAAATACTCAAATCATAAAGTCATAAGAAATAGGAGCAGGAGTAGGCGGTTTAGCCCTACAGTTGAACCTGTTCCATCTTTCAATAATGGCTGATCTGACTGTGGCCTTAACTTCACTTTCCAGTCTGATCCCCACAAATATCTGTTAGGCAACAGCTGTGGGGGGAGAGAGAGGCACCTAATATTTCAGGTACTGAGGAAAGGTCATTGACATAGAGTGTTAACTCTGTTCCTTTCTCCACTGATGCTGTCTCACCTGCTGGGTATGCAAAGCATTTTCTATTAATTTTTTAAAATTTTTGTTTTATTCCTTTCTGACCCCTTCCTTGAAAGCACCAATGCCTCTCTGGCTAGGGCAAGCATACTTTCTAAACCAAGCGGTTCCAGTACAGTTACAACACTGGCATCTACCCAACAATGTTGAAAATTGCCCACATATGGCTTGTACATGAAAAGCAGGACAAATCCAACCTCGCCAATTACTGTCATTCAGTCTACTCTCGATCATCAGTAAAGTGATGGATGGTGTCAACAACAGTGCTATCAAGCAGCACCTGCTCAACAATAACCTGCTCAGTGATACCCCACTTGGATTCTGCCAGGCCTACTCAGCTCCTGATCTCATTGCAGCCTTGGTTCAAACATGGATGAAACTGCTGAATTCTAGAGATGAGGTGAGAATAACAGCCTTGACATCAAGGCTGCATTCGACTAAGTGTGGCATCAAGGAGCCCTAGCAAAACTGGAACCAATAGGTATCAGGAGGCAAACTCTCTGCTGGTTGGGCCATTCCTGACACATAGGAAGATGGTTGTGGTTGTTGTAGGTCAGTCATCTCAGCTCTAGGACATCTCTGCAGAGTTCCTCAAGATCGTGTCCTAGGTCCAACTTTCTTCAGCCACTTCATCAATGACCTTCCCTCCATCATAAGGTCAGAACTGGGGATGTTTGCCAATGATTACACAATGTTCAGCACCATTCAGGACTCCTTAGATACTGAGGCAGTCCATGTTCAAATGCAACAAGATCTGGACAATACCCAGGCTTGGGCTGACAAGTGGCAAGTAGCATTTGTGCCATACAAATGCCAGGCTATGACCATCTCCAATAAGAGACAATCTAACCACCACCCCTTGACATTCAATGTGTTACCATCACTGAATGCCCCACTATCAACATCCTGGGGGTTACCATTGACCAGAAACTCAACTGGACTCACCACATAAACACAGTGGCTACTAAAGCAAGTTAGAGGCTAGGAATACTACGGTGAGTAACTGACCTCCTGACTCCCCAAAGCCTGTCCATCATCTACAAGGCACAAGTCAGGAGTGTGATTGAATACTCCCCACTTGTCTGGATGGGCGCAGCTCCAACAACACTCAACAAGCTTGACACCATCCAGAACAAAGTAGCCTGTTTGATTGGCTCTACATCCACAAGCATCCACGACCTCCACACTAATGCTCAGTAACAGCAATGTGTACTGTCTACAAACTGCCCTGCAGGAATTCACCAAAGACCCTCTGACAGCATCTTCCTAATCCACGACCACTTCCATCTAGAAGGACAAGGGCAGCAGATATATGGGAACACTGCCACTTTCAAGTTCCCCTCGAAGCCATTCGCCATTCTGACTTGGAAATATATCACTGTTTCTTCAGTGTCTCTGGGAAAATCCTGGAATTTCCTCCCTCATGGCATTGTGGGTCAATCCACAGAAGGTGAACTGCAGTGGTTCAAGAAGACAGCACCTCCACCTTCTCAAGAGCAACTAGGGATGGGCAATAAATGCTGGCCATCCAGCCACATGCCACAAATGAGGGGAAAAAGCTGTTGGGATGCACAAGAGTGGAGCACAGAAAAATTTAGTTGCATTTATATTGTACCTGACACAACCTCAGGACATCCCAAAGCTCTTTACAGCCAACAAAGTATTTTTTGAAGTATAGCACAGTTTTAATGTAGAACAGCAGTTCTCAACCTTTTGCAGTATCAAGCCGCTTTTCAATGAGACAAACAATTCCGTGACGCACCCGCTTTTTTCAGCTGAGTTGATTGCTGATGAGCATCACATTTCCTTGGATTTACTATTGTTACAGCCTTGCTAGAGTGCTTTGCAACATAGTGCATACAACACATTAAAAGGTGGCACAGTAGCTCAATGGTTAACA